AAAGACATTTTAGGCCTACTGATTCGGGAATGGATGCGTGAATACACAGTTCCTCGTGGAACCGAAATATTCCATTGAATTCACTACTTAACAAAGCAGAGCACATTTCAAACAAGTTGGATGGGCTAATGATGCTACACTGGCAGTATGAAAGCACAGTACCTCATTAATTTCTACAGATGATAATGAAATCACACCGACGGACAATGGTCAATGGAGAGCGGCAGTGGACATCGCGCGAGAAGCTCGTGGTCATCTCGAGGATCAAGTCGGCACCCAGGGATTGCTCAGTAATGGAAACTGTCGTTCTGTGGCCCATACTTAGTCATTGATTGAATGAAAATACTGTAGAATAAATGCCTTGTACCCTGTGGGGAGTTACTGCAGACACTTGGCAGTTGACAGCCCTGTTTAGTATGTAATTGTGAAACTGAACCACTTACAGAGCGTGTACTATCCCAAGTACACTAGCAGCTTGTGATACAAGGCTGTGTTCTACAAGCTAGTCTTATCGTGACTTGTGGTACAGTGTCATACCAATCGGTGTCCCGGTCGGCAGAGTTGTACCAGGCCGTTTCTTGACTTGTTGTAGTGTTGCACCAGGCCGTTTCTTGGCGTGTGGTAGTGTTCTACCAGGCCGTTTCTTGGCTTGTGGTAGTGTTCTACCAGGCCGTTTCTTGGCTTGTGGTAGTGTTGTACCAGGCCGTTTCTTGGCTTGTGGTAGTGTTGTACCAGGCCGTTTCTTAGCTTGTGGCAGAGTTGAACCAGGCCGTTTCTTTGCTTGTGGTAGTGTTGCACCAGGCCGTTTCTTAGCTTGTGGCAGAGTTGAACCAGGCCGTTTCTTGGCTTGTGGCAGAGTTGAACCAGGCCGTTTCTTGGCTTGTGGCAGAGTTGTACCAGGCCGTTTCTTGGCTTGTGGTAGTGTTGTACCAGGCCGTTTCTTGGCTTGTGGCAGAGTTGTACCAGGCCGTTTCTTGGCTTGTGGCAGAGTTGTACCAGGCCGTTTCTTGGCTTGTGGCAGAGTTGTACCAGGCCGTTTCTTGGCTTGTGGTAGTGTTGTACCAGGCCGTTTCTTGGCTTGTGGTAGTGTTGTACCAGGCCGCTACTTGGCTTGTGGTAGTGTTGTTCAAGGCCGTTTCTTGGCTTGTGGTAGTGCTGTACCAGGTGGTTTCTTGGCTTGTAGTAGTGTAGCTTCAGGCTGGTTCTTGGCTTGTGCTTCAGTTTACAATCCTTCTCCCGTGTTGCTAGTTCCACAGTGCTTGTTGTAGATTCTGCAGCTTTCTATCACACCGTTTGTATCAAGGTGTCTGCAGTAGAATCTGTCTACCATACCGTTTGTGCCAAGGTGTCTGCAGTAACATCTGTCTACCACACCGTTTATGTCAAGGTGTCTGCAGTAGAATCTGTCTACCACACCGTTTGTGTCAAGGTGTCTGCAGCAGAACCTGTCTACCACACCGTTTGTGTCAAGGTGTCTGCAGTAGAATCTGTCTACCATACTGTTTGTGTCAAGGTGTCCCCGGTTGAATCTGTCTACCCTACCGTTTGTATCAAGGTGTCTGCAGTAGAATCTGTCCACGACTCCGTTTGTGTCAAGGTGCCTGGAGTAGAATCTGTCTGCCACCCCGTTTGTGCCAAGGTGTCTGCAGCAGAATCTGTCTACCCACCGTTTGTGTCAACGTGTCTGCAGTAGAATCTGTCTACCATACTGTTTGTGTCAAGGTGTCCGCAGTAGAATCTGTCTACCATACCGTTTGTGTCAAGGTGTCTGCAGTAGAATCTGTCTACCATACTGTTTGTGTCACGGTGTCTGCAGTAGAATCTGTCTACCACACCGTTTCTGTCAAACATGTACTTCCAAAAACTATTTTTAAACAAATACATTATATTCAAAAAATCATTAACAACGTGTCTGGTGCTTACACATATAAATATTTCTACACTGAGATATGTGATGAGGTCTGTACTGTCTGAGGTAACTTTCTTAATCATGTCATCAGGTGTCAAGAAAAGATGACTGTACATACCACCATGAATACTATAACTGTTTGAACCGCCGAGTCTTCACAGTTCCGTAACTATGACAACTATGTACTGTTTCGTCTCACACCAGTTTCATGTCATTTAAATGCAACCAGACTCAGTTGCCTAATTACAACCTACGAGACACAACTACCAATGTGAAGACACCGTGACTTATTCGCAGCCATCCAATGTGAATTTAACTGTTAGGTTCTATGTTTTTCGCAAAGCAAACATTCTCAAGGTAAGTGAAGTAATATAGCTGGCCTGTTTACAGACAAGCAATCGATATGGAAAAACCCCAACCTAACGGTAGTTTGATATGTCGATGGCTGTGTATACATGAAGCCTCTTTCTTATAGACTAATTAATTGTTTGATATGGTGCCCACATCGTCTATACACGATCAATGTCAGTTGATAAATATTTCCTTCGTTACATGTGTATGGATTCCACTATGACATTTTACAATCGATTAATATTGTTGTTCTTTTACGATTTTCTATGGATATATACCTGTCTTTCTTGTGGACATCCACTAACACTTGTGGGAAATGACTTGTGTAATTATCTATATCTATTATATCTCATTTTAACCGCTCGTTGCACTGCTCTCAACACAAGGGGCTAATTGGTCTCGGTTTCGCAAAAGAGAGTAATGCAATCCTAATGTGAAATAAAACTGTCCATGAAACGATATCCAACCACCTTAATGATGGAGTCACGGGTCAAAGGGTAGTCATATGACAATGTGTCATGAGTTAAAATGCGATTTCTGTTCAGGTTATATGGTTGCCTTTTGCCACGTGAATACCCTTCAGTGTGAGCGGGTACAATGATTTTAGTAATATGCTATGAACATCCTTGCAGGGACACTAAGATGTGGCTTCTTTGAATGTGACCATGTAAAGAATCGAACCCGGTTAAACGATTCTTGATGTTTAGAAACTGAGATGAAGAGTTCATATGTAAAGGACGCTGATATGAATCACGTTAATTGATAAAAAAGTCAACTTTGCGAAACTGACCCTTAATTGTTTTTATCTTCAATTCAAACTGAGAGTCTTTTCGTAATCATTATATAACTGTATCATCCCCTTGTAGAAAATGATATTAAAATCTGAATAAATGGTGGGATAAAGTATATTTACGTGCTTTTCAGTAATATCGAACTACATCACGTCGGAGGACATCCATGACCTTCAGCGTGATGAGTGAACGCTTCAACCACTAGGCTATCGACTGCCTATACTAGAACGACAATACGTTGCTGATGTCTTACACGTTCTCGATTGAGCATGACGTATGACCTGGACGTATGACCTCTTTGGTATCATCTTTTAATGCAAACAGTATATTCGTCACCCTACTGCAACTGTGTGACAACACATGCCGCGGGTCACTCTCCAACAGGTGCTAGGCCTGTACACAGCGACTGTCCACAGGCCAGCCTACCAGCCTACCACCTGTGGCCAAATAAAATGTTGTTGATGTGCCCAGTGTAATGTAACCTTTTCATAAGTAGTATATGGTCTACTTATTTCAGTAATACATATCTGAAGACGTCGTGCCCCGTTCCCTGCTGCTGAAGGAGTCTGTAGTTGCCCCCTAATGGTTGATGACAGGAGATGAGTGGTCGCCGATATGCTTCTAGTTGCATCCTTGCACGAAATGTCTTCGCTTCCAGCATTAAAGAGTCCTCATTACCGCACATCAACGCAACTCTTTTTAAATCACCACAGCACTTCACCTATGGATTTAAGCCACATATCCATGAAGCGGGTTATTATCTATCTACGTCCGTTCTAAAATAGATATGTCCCCAGTGTATGGATGGAAATGGTTCGATATATCTGAAAAAAGATACCTTACCTCTCTACGTATCAGCATGGTGACTGCCTACGGGCATGACGCCATGCAATGTGATCCCCGACGGCACATCAAGTCACTGACAGCCGTCATACTAACAATCCTAACTTACACCAGAGCTAGTTTCATTTCAAAAGGATCAGATGATGAAGCCATATGTTTCAAGATCCTTTCTCCCTGCCATACAGTGTGTACCACTGAATCTAAGATAACTCAGTAAAGAGGTAATTTCGTGGTATACTTGCCGAGAGCTCATTACACTCTAACGTTAATTTCGGAACAAGAATTGTAAGAAGACACGCGCTGAAAATATCCAAAGCTTGTCTACAGAATCAGAGTGTCGAGTGTGTTCCAGGTTGTTGTCAATCACATACGTGTCTTGAACGTTTCAGATTCCTCATGAAGTGTTCTCAAGACGTGATGCTACTCGACATAAGATCGACGCGTTGCTTTTGACACTGGTTACCTTTTAATTATATCATGTTAACCGCTGATGTCATGTTTGGTGAAACGCTGAGTCGGTAAACATCGATGATTATCGAACGATGTTTTCAAGGATATACAGTTCAAATCAATATGAAAGTTGAATATAAAACAATGTTTTTGTTTTGGCAATTAACCATCTTACACATCTTACAGCAAAGCATCTGTGAAATCCCAAAGTAAACCACCTGGGAAATCCTACAGTAAATTATCTGGCAAATCCTACAATAAACAATGTGGGAAATCCTACAGTAAACTATGTGGGAATTCCTACAACAAACCATCTGACAAATCTCACAGCAAACCATCTGGCAAATCTCACAGTAAACCATCTGGGAAACCCTTTTTTAAATCATCTGTTTTCTCCCTCTCTAATGTTTCTCACAACATTGATACTCTTGAATTAACAGTATGATCTTGGAACATATTGGCCTACATTCTCAAGTAATTGTCGCCATGCAACACGTCACCAAACCACTTGCATCAACTGATTTTAACTTTACTTTACATTTTAATGCAATTATTTCATGCAAAGAAGTATCGTATGCCGTATCTTAATCAAACCATATCATATCATATCATATCATATCATATCATATCATATCGTTGAAACTGTTAGCCCTTACCTTTGTGTCATTCCAAGTCATCTTGAGGTTATAGCGGTCGAGTATTCCGGAATGGTTATTGATATGCTGCAATGCTAGTTCCACTGCGGGTCTGACACCCCGTCCAATAGCTCCCTCGGGGATGTTCTCGTCCGTAGGGAACAACCCCGCTATGTATACATCCTGTTTTGTCTCTGTGTTGGAAGCCACCCCACAAACAATGCACAGTACCACAACCAGAGCAACCATACTCATTCCTGTCCTGAAGCAGTCAACAGTCCAGCTACGATCAGGAGAAAGTTGTTTTGTTTACAAGTCATGTTCCCTTTGTAACATTGCCCTTTGATGAAAAACACGCTTCTGTGAGCATCCTCCAGCTTGTTTCCAATGCTACGGATAGCATTGCCCTTCCTGTAGTGTTTGAGCCTCTTGGGATCAGTCCAATGCAAGACAGCATGATAGCGCTGTTCGTAGATCAAGAGATCTGAGAAATCTTTATTGGAGTGCGAAGTTTTGAAATCGCATGTTGACACTCCTGATGTTTTAATCCTTCCCGCGCTTCTCTCGATTGTCGTCTGCTAGTTAGGTATCGCAGAAGCCGTTTGCTCTCTGGCTCGCTCTCACCGCCTCACAGCCGCGTGCAGCGCTCTAGCCGTCAACGAGTGCCACCTTTCACTAGCGCCCTCTCCCGGTCATCTGCCAAAGCAAAGAAGAGATGTAAATGAGTTTTAACACAGTCTGTTGAGCAAGTGAATGGTAATATAAGCGCAAGTGGTTAGCCTATTCTGAAGTCGATGTCCATATGGAACTGTCCCATTCAATTTAACCTTGTACTACACTCGTCGTGTATATATCATTTCACGACCTATGGTTGCCACCGATATGACGTAGATCAGAAATTTGGTCAACAATGGTCTTCTAAATGACATGATAGTGTTCCTCCTCTCCCCTCCCCTCATCTGACTGAATGATACGCCACCCAAGCATCAATGGCAAACGCTACTTTATTCCATACACCCATGCATGCTTAACACTCACAGAAACACAAGTAGCAGATTGAAGAAAGCCAGTGGAACCGATTCAGCTATATCGCTATTTGCACTGATAGATTTCGGATCATTAGGATTTTATGTACATTTGTTCCTTTAACTGAAGATGTGCTCCATCGATTTATTAATATACCGGGATAACTAAGAGCGCAATAAACGCACTTCTTATTAAATAATTGGTGATACAATCGCTAATGAATGCATTGAATCGTATGAGTCGTGTATCACACTCTTCCCAGCGCATAATTCATTTTTTCTATGCTACAAGCATTTATGTGACCGGTCACAACCTCCGTAGATGTAATATCTTGTGTGGTTGAAATTAAAAGTAATAATCATGTGTGAATTTAGCATCAAAGCCAACCTCCCCAATTTTTACTGAAAGATGTAATTACATAACCGTCCTGTAGTAACAGTCAATTTGTTGATTGGAATAGCAGCCTGACCGCCAGCTGTTTGATATTGACCACATAGCACCAAGTAGCTTCTGTTGGTCAGATGTATCAGCCAAAACGCACCTGTTTCCCTCTGTTAAATGGCAGTGTACCATTGATTGTGTTCAACTCTGGCGACACTAACCACTTATGAGGGCACATCTTTCATCGAACACATCTTCGAGATCGTAACATGTTTGCTGCATGATAATATCAATATTCTCCCTACCGTTTGTCTCGTGTAACCGGCTTTAGTGGTTCGTCCCTGTGTTCCGTTGCGTGTACTGCAGAAACCCTCAGTTAATTGTAACATTGTGCAGTTGTAATGTGGGGGTTCTATCCTGGTTGATAGTTATTTTTAATGAGGAGAACGAGTGGCGCAGTCAGCGGAGGTGTTCTATTGGCTGTGAGTAACCATGCCGATTTTCGTTCGAATCCCATATTCTCACGAATAATGATCCGTGGTCCGCCTACTTATGAAAATACCTTTCGTTTCTACAATCTGCTTATCATATATTAGGCTGACAGGCTGCGATATTACTAAAACGTCAAAATGGCGATGTGCATGTTTCAAGACAAATTTAATTAAAAACTCCATTGCCTATTTACCTATTTATAAATAGGGGGCACGGGTGGCCCAGTCGTCTAAGGCGCCGCGATTCGCTGTGCAGAGTTGCGTCCCTTGGGCACGCCAGAAACCTATGATTGTGGGTTCGAATCCCGGTTCGCCCCGATTATGTTTTTAGGTTTGTCAGCACCATACCCGTGCTCGTGGGTTTCACCGAAGTGGTAAACGTCTGAGACCTACATCACTTCGGGCTTTCCTCCCACATTAAGCTGACCCGCCGCGATATAACTGGAATAATGTTAAAAGCGGCGTTAAACCCAACTCACTCACTCACTCACTCACTATTTATAAATACTGGCAAAAAGGCATGATAATTAAATATACATTAGTTGGGCGTAACATGTATACACGAATACCAGAAGGTTATTTCAGTAGTGTAACACGCTGCGTGTTTAACTGCAACACCTTGCGGCAATACTGGCATTAACTTGTATACTTCTCACACAATTGAAAAGTTACACCGATTGCAACCGTGATGGTTTTGCCAGAGGAGAGAAGGTGTTATGTAATATCCTGATGATTATCCGGAGACAATATCATTAAGCTGCGGAATCTGCGTGTGGCACGACATAGCCCAGATCTTCTGTTAATGGAATCACGCAAATACCTTAATGTGTTGTGGGGGCTTATAAAAGTACACACTCAAAGACGATACGCAACGCGCCGTTGTTACACATCTATAACAATGAAGAGAATACAATATTAAGACAAATTCTCCATTTCAGAACCATCTGTGACTTTAGTCTTATTTTCGTTCCTCCCTATTATATGTGCATAAAATATGCACAGTATTACGCACTTAGAGCATAACAAGTTTAGATGCACACTCTCCATTTTGGAATTATCTTTGATTATGTATCATATTCTTTTACCACAATTATTTCCTAATTAAATATGTATAATATAACAGTCATACTTATGACATAATAGATGTATGCATGACTGTTCACGTATTCTGTGTATTTCATTATAATTATCATGATATACTTATTTCATGTATACAGTGTAATCTACTTAACATTACATATACGTACTGTATATAACATACTTATAACTCCGTTATAATACAGCAAACGTTAGTATAATCTGTACAAACGAGCTTCGTCGCCACAATGTTACATTGTCCGTGCCTACCGTCACTTTAAATGAAGAAAGTCATGTCCTTGGAAAATCCATTAACGTAATGGTGTAAAAGTGCTCCTTTTATTGAAAAGTCGACATTACAATGTTTCAAGGACGGAAATTCACAATCAAAGAGAAATTGTATACAGGTATCGTTGGAGGAAGCGAACAGAATATCCTCCGGTTGAGACAGCCGAGGAATCGATAATCTGTTTACCTACTTACGCGCGTTGAAAATATCTAATATAGATGTGTCATATGCACGACAAAAAACGTTGAGTGTTCTATCTTTGATGTGGCTCTGTGAAGTAGTGATGTCGCCATTCCTTGTTTCTGACCAGAAGAGTCCACAATACAATCATGAATAAGATCAGGTTCCGATCGGGGACACAGACAGCGCATTGTAAACACTGTCAGTAAATAATACTTCCAAATGCATGTATCCAAAATAATCTGAATTTGTTGTTTGCATAGTGTACAACAATCATTTATAACGCATTCAGTTCATCTGAGTCGATCATAGAATCTGTTCACAGTGAAACCCCGTTAGTCCGGATTAACGAGGCATTGTTTTTGGAGAGATGTCCCTTGATTTAGTTGGAATATCATACGATTGACTCTGCTATGGTTTTTGAAATGGTTTTGTCGCTTTAATATTTCTATATGTGGACGTTGTTAATAGTGATCGTCAACAAAAAGAGGTTTCCGGAATTACAGGGTTGAATTATAATATGAAACTTTACTTCGTATCGAATGTTGAGTTAATTAATCTTCACAGGGTATCTGTATAATATATACCAATCTGACACAAATGGAATACTGAAATATCATACAACTTAACTGTACGATTGTTTCTTATTGTATGCAAATGTTGCTTTCAGTCCGTATTAAAAATACCCAATGTTTCCACTTTTAAAATCACGACGCACTTGTTTTCTACCACAACATAGTTACAGACGCACCGTGTGCTTCTATAGCGGCCATACATAATGGGAATGTGTTTCTCTGATGTGCTGAATAAGCTCTTTAATCGTCATTCCCTACACGATGTAACGTAGACATTTCTATTTTAACCAAACTATACCTCAGCTGTAAATGATTTTGTATAGAGTTGTTCCTGATGGAAGTACGGCTAAACGACAAGCCCGGTCCCTCCAAGATGCTAATTCACAGCAAATCTCGGACTCTTAACAGAATCGCGCGTACAAGAGAAGCCCGAGGCAAACGTTTGGCGAAACAGGCTGAGGATGGTCTGCTGTTTTCACCACTCACTGCTGCAGTCAACGATCGCTATGTACAGTCCTGCCGTCGGGGCACGGTACCGCAGCCGCTGCTCTGTGGTCTGCAAGCTGTCACCACCGGTGGGGGAATGTGTGTGTGGGCTACCTCAACTGCTACAGATGTTGGCACTGTCCTCGACAGAAGGTGTTCTTGTTAACGTGCTGAGATGTGGTCTATGGGTGATCTGGCGTGGTCTGGCGCGAACAGCGTCATCTATGAGTAGTATTCATCAATGTGTGCTATTCTCAATGTGTGCTATTTATCAATGTGGTCCGTCATCAGTATCAGGGCGTCTACTTATCGTTATAGATTTCAGTCTTCCATGAATGTGCTGTTTCTCACAACAACGACCAATGTAGTCTCTTCCCCTCTTTCTATCAATATAGTGACTTCCACCATCCCCATCATTCCATAATCACCATCACTGTTGTGTCCTTTCCCCTCACCATCAATGTGGTGTCTTCCACCCTCGGCATCAATGTGGTGTCTTCCATCCTCGGCATCAATGTGATGTCTTCCACCCTCACCATCAATGTGATGTCTTCCACCCTCACCATCAATGTGATGTCTTCCACCCTCACCATCAATGTGGTGTCTCCACCCTCACCATCAATGTGATGTCTTCCACCCTCACCATCAATGTGGTGTCTTCCACCCTCACCACCAATGTGGTGTCTTCCACCCTCACCATCAATGTGGTGTCTTCCACCTTCACCATCAATGTGATGTCTTCCACCCTCACTATCAATGTGATGTCTTCCACCCTCACCATCAATGTGGTGTCTTCGAACCCTCAACATCAATGTGGTGTCTTCCACCCTCACATCAATGTGGTGTCTTCCACCTTCACCATCAATGTGGTGTCTTCCACCCTCACCATCAATATGCTTTCTTCCACCCTCAACATCAATGTGGTGTCTTCCTCCCTCACCATCAATGTGGTGTCTTCCACCCTCACTATCAATATGCTTTCTTCTATCCTCACCATCAATGTGGTGTCTTCCTCCCTCACCATCCATTGTGGTGTCTTCCACCCTCACCATCAATATGCTTTCTTCCACCCTCAACATCAATGTGGTGTCTTCCTCCCTCACCATCAATGTGGTGTCTTCCACCCTCACTATCAATATGCTTTCTTCTATCCTCACCATCAATGTGGTGTCTTCCTCCCTCACCATCAATGTGGTGTCTTCCACCCTCACCATCAATATGCTTTCTTCCACCCTCAACATCAATGTGGTGTCTTCCTCCCTCACCATCAATGTGGTGTCTTCCACCCTCACCATCAATATGCTTTCTTCCACCCTCAACATCAATGTGGTGTCTTCCACCTTCACCATCAATGTGGTGTCTTCCACCCTCACCATCAATATGCTTTCTTCCACCCTCAACATCAATGTGGTGTCTTCCACCTTCACCATCAATGTGGTGTCTTCCACCCTCACCATCAATATGCTTTCTTCCACCCTCAACATCAATGTGGTGTCTTCCACCCTCACCATCAATATGCTTTCTTCCACCCTCAACATCAATGTGGTGTCTTCCACCTTCACCATCAATGTGGTGTCTTCCACCCTCACCATCAATATGCTTTCTTCCACCCTCAACATCAATGTGGTGTCTTCCTCCCTCACCATCAATGTGGTGTCTTCCACCCTCACCATCAATATGCTTTCTTCCACCCTCAACATCAATGTGGTGTCTTCCACCTTCACCATCAATGTGGTGTCTTCCACCCTCACTATCAATATGCTTTCTTCCACCCTCAACATCAATGTGGTGTCTTCCTCCCTCACCATCAATGTGGTGTCTTCCTCCCTCACCATCAATGTGGTGTCTTTCACCCTCACTATCAATATGCTTTCTTCTATCCTCACCATCAATATGATTTCTCCCACCCTCACCAACAAGGTGGTGTCTTCCACCCTCACCATCAACCACAATGACCCCATACTTTCTTACTTTAACTCATGCAGGGTATCCTGAACTCATATATTCCCACCTGAAAACCTCCTGGCCTACTTTAAGGTGTGCATGGTCGTCATAACACACGGAGTCCCACCTGAACACATACTGGCTTACTTTAACTCATGCAGGGTCTCCTGAACACATACAGCCCCACCTGATCACCTCCTGGCCTACTTTAGCTCGTGCAGGGTCCTCGTTACACAAGCAGACCCACATGTACACATAATGGCCGACTTGAACTGGTGCAGGATTCCATGTGCACATGCAGGCCCAATGAACAATCACTTGCCTACCATGATTCGTGCATGGTCTCCTGAACACATGCAGGCCCACCTGAACACCCGCTGACCTACTTTAACTCGTGAATGGTTTCCACTGCTACCTCTGACATGTGGTCTCAACTGCCACTACATTTACAAGATGTGATCGCTGTCTGCCACCACGGTACAACAGAGGTCGATATGCCTCTGCTGTTTCTGCCAATATCAATATCTGACGCTTTCTCTCTGCTCTGTTCCAAGCAGTCGGCAGCAGAGGAGGAATTAATTTGACCAGAACTGCTTCGTTCTCTCGGGATGATGTGAGAGCATTAATAACCGAAATAGGCCGACCATCAGCCGATGTTACACTTTGTTTGAGATCTCGAACACGAGAGTATTGCGCCTTCCTGATTTTCCTCCATTTTGATTAAAGTTCAATACACTGATAACAGTTTATTTTGCGTGATGTACCGTGTTCTACTCAATTTAAACTGTAAGTATGTAAAGCGTTCGCTTGACGGGCATGTATTCTACGCTTCAAATAGCTGCTCGTGATGACGGAGTCTATCCGTCGATCGTGATTTAGCACACATGACGAGGACGATGGAATGTATACGTCAACGATGAACACACACGAAGTGCATACAACTGAAATTGATTCTTTGAAAACTTAGATGAACAGATTTTAGGCTCTCTGTCTATGTGCCTGACCGTGTTTGCGTGATAAGCACAGAGAATATCAGCATGTATCTTAAATTCTTTACTTTATTTTGGGATATGTTGGCAGGCCCGAACCGTCTGTATTTGACAAAGCACGAGGCGAGATAATTTGAACCTCTTGAAAGCATTATGACGTAAAGGCTTTAAAATGAATTGAATCACTTCTTTTCTGATACAAGCGTTCGACCTAAGTAGGTTTATCAGTTCTGTCAGGTGGAATAAACTTCATTTTATACATAAAGTCCCTTCTGATGTGGGGTTTATTTGTATCCCGTCGGGGGTGTTATTGTCGAGTTCCTCGTTGAGATCAAATGGCTTCACATCAAATCGTTGTATTCAATCATATCAGTTTACACGAATGACTGGCATCCATGGGAATGATAACCTAAATAAGACCCCTTTATTGTTTTGACTTGATGCCTTAGCATTTAGTACATAAAAGATTTAAATCTGATGAATAAAATGAAGAACAGATTGAAGATTAAAAATATTTCGCTGCACAATTCCTTGAAAGAAATGATACAAGGCCATTTCCCAACACAGTCTTTCACCATTAAAGTGAGAAATGTGAAAAACCTGTATGAGGTTAAATAGATTAATTCATGACGAAAGAGCAGACCATCGACTTCAGATCAGGTCAAAAGGCTCTACATGTCATACTCACGGAGGAGTCGGTATATGGGGTTCTCATACACGCTCAGTAACGTGTGCCAGTGCACTCAAAATATTATTTTTTTTCTTTGAAAGAGCCGATATGAATTTGAACGTTTCATGAAATTGTGTTGCTTTCTGGCAGTGTCTGTGAACTTACATAGTGCATCTAGAAATCGTAAACTTACAACAAAATCGTTTTGTAACAAAAAGAAATACTTGTTTACTTGGCTGTTTCAATGGCTGAGTAGATACAACATAAGGAATTGTTGACTAAAGTATCCCCGGGTAAACCTCGCCCATTTTAAATAAGTAAATTTGCTGTCACACCATCACGGCAAATCTGGATTCGAACCCACTGATATCAATCGCAGTGTTTGCACTGAAGTAAATAAATATTATACCATGTACACATACTACCTATATATTCATGAAAAGTGACTCAGTTCTCCGAAAGACCAGTGGATCCAGGCATGTGCAAGGAATGCAGCTTATTGAAGAACATTTAACTTGCCTTTGCATGTATTTGTGACGTGTATCCCCAGTAGGGCAGGATACGCTTACTTTTACGCAAACATCGGCATCACTGATAGTTAATCATAAACACACAACTATGATATAGTCGGCATGATACAATGGGCTCTTTCAGCAGTGATCTCTCATGATTTAGAAATGGTTTTGACGCTTGTATTTATATCTAGGGACCACTAAGCATGTATCAAATACAAACTTTCCAGCTTGAAGTCAAATACAAATAACCCAATACCTGGAGCGAATGTGTAATTAAACTCTTTTCTGATATTTTTTTTAAATCTCTGATAATGAATTCATTTAAAAGGCCAGAAAGAACCTTGTACCGATTGAGCCATTACCAGCTCATTTTCAAAGTGTGACAACTACGGTTCACTTTTGGAGTGAGGAACTTGGAGAGTTAAAAATGTGAAGCTGTTGGGATTAGGTCAAGATGGCATTCGGTTGTCACTTCATATCAAAATTAAAACAACGTAGGTACCATTGATAAACTCACTGAAAAGCTGACATCTAGAGCAGAAAAACCCCATCTCCATCGACCAATTGTAGATGAAAAAAGAAACTTCATTACAAATGGTTGCGGGGCGGCCTGGTGGTTAAAGCGTTCGCTCGTCACGCCGAAGACCCGGGTTCGATTCCCGACATGGGTACAATGTGTGAAGCCCATTTCTGGTGTCCTCCGCCGTGATATTGCTGGAATATTGTTAAAAGCGGCGTAAAACCATACTCACTCACTCACTCACTCACAAATGGTTGCTCTGTGCAGAATCGAACCCGAATGCCTCCAGAACGAACACACAGCACACAAGGCTTAACTGCTTTGGTTTCTCGTAGTGACGCAATGCCTACATCTTCTTGTAATGTCATCACTCAGATGTGTATTTTATTTACGTCTTCTATTCACGGTTAGAAATTGATCAATTGACATACAGTGACCATGATGCACGGATGATAATACACAACCCTTATATACACACAGGGATATCGAACGTGAGAAATGTGTCTATATTGAGGTGATTTCTCTTGTCCGCTGATAGTGTATCTATCAGTAACCCTTGCCATCTATAATGTAATTAATGGCAGTCTCTACACATAACCCCTCACCCTTGAGGGATCAGACCTGAGGTCTTGCTGGTTGCTGAGTTGGCGTCCAGCACGTAGATAACATAGACGTTTCTTAAGTCAACAATCGAAACCTCGCTCACATCCACTGACGAACTAACGTAGGAGAGCATGGTGTTCCACCAGCGTGGTTACTGTGGGCTTTAAGTACACTTGCCACATTGCCTGACATCTTATGTCTAATATCGTAAAAGCAAAAAAGAAGGAGTGCTCTAGAAGCTTTGGGAATCAGTTTAAGTAGCAGAAAGTAGTAGATGTTGTAGTAGTAGTTGCACCAGTGGTAGTGCTAACGCTAGTAGTAGTAGTAGCCGAAGTTGTGGTGGCGGTTGTGGCAGTAGTAGAAGCAGTTGTAGTGGTAGTAGTAGAAGTAGTTGTAGTAGTTATTGATGTGCGTGTAGTGATGATGGTTGTAGACATGTCGTAGTCGCAGAAGTAGTAATAGCAGTAGTAGTTGCAGTAGTAGTAGAAGTAGTGGTGAGTGATTGAGTGAGTATGGTTTTACGCCGCTTTGAGCAATTTTCCAGCAATATCACGGCGGGGAACACCAGAAATGGGCTTCACACATTGTATCCATGTCGGGAATCGAACCCGGATCTTCGGCGTGACGAGCGAACGCATTAACTACTAGGCTACCCGACCTCTCCTAGTAGTAGTAGTAGTAGTAGTAGTAGTAGTAGTAGTAGTAGTAGTAGTAGTAGTAGTAGTAGTAGTAGTAGTAGTAGTAGAAGTAGTATTGCGGTATCATTCTAGAGTTTTCTCCATGACATTACAACACGGTCTAACCCCAATCTCCAAGCTACATATAACAATCCTGGCATCGAGGCCGCCGTTGACGGTGTCGCACCTGCAAGTCTGAGAGTCGTCCCGGCTGCAGCTCGGCAAATATTTGAAGTACAGCGTGAAGAATGAGAGTAAATAGAACCCCCTCTATATCGGGATTGATTCTTGCTTCCCAAGTGTCGGTTGTCACGGCTGTCAGCCTCCCCATCTTCCTCGTACACCCGCCCGTCAGCAGCCGCAGCATGTACCCTGGCCACCGTGTCATAAGCTAAAGACCCAAGACATAAAAAACGGATACGTGTTGATTGAACGAAATTGAAAGATATTCGCCAGTGACAGCCTTCTTAACTAGGTAATCGGAATGTCTACAAAAACAGCCATTGGCTGTGAGTTTTTTCCATGCATAGCCCTTTGAGTAGCGAGTACGGGAGAGATCTCGCATTAGTTCAGCATTCCAATTCACACACAAGTAATTGCATTTCAGGTAAAGCATTTGTCCTGTGAGTAGAATTAGTACGATTTTCTCACAAAGGAATGGTAGTCTGTCTATTGTAGCTGGGAGCGAGAGATTCCTCTCTGAATAATTCATCATTCTATATAAAGAGGCCGTCTGTATTTTCATTTTCAACGCCTTGAAAGCTTTGCATTGAACCCTGTGGTAAAATTGTATTGGTTAAGTACATCTATTACATTAGGAGAGCATTCGGATATTAGTAATTGGTTATATTACCAATGTGAAACTTCTTTGTGTGAGTTGGGGGTTATTTTGTGATTGTCAGTTACTTTAATATTCCGAAACAAGCAGTACGAGATGTTGATAGACGAACCAAGTACGGGTTATTCTTTTATTCGTCAATAATTAAAACCTCGAGAAATAGTTTGTTTTGTCTCATGAAATTTCAAACACATTTCAAGTCACTTTACACACTCATTATACTGAGTGCTCATAACACT